GTCGTCTTGTTGTTTATTATTGGAGGCGCCACAGTACATGGCAATTTAAATAAAACCTGCAAATTTAATGGGAGAGGGGATGCCCCCCGCTCCCGGGCTATCTTTTTCGTTTTCCTTCATCTTAAACCTATTTATTTTAATTCTTTCGTAAAATTATAAAAAGGGATGTCTTAATTTTTAAATCTTCTTTAGATAAAGAATCATCACATAATATATATACTTATAAAGTCCTTTTTTTTTTTTAAATACATGTTTAGATTTAGATATGCGAATGTAATCATTTTATTTAACTTGACTTTGATGAGGCACTCTAGATTTTCAAAGTTCCTGAATTTTGACGTCATGTGATTGTGTTTATTGTTTCTTCTAATAACACCAGTGTCTTTTTTTTTTCTTTTACTACCGGTATATTAATTTGTTCAATAGCAGAACAGCTAAGAAAGTCAACAGTGATTTTTTAAATTCTTAATATTATTAAATTCGCTTTTGAGTATTTAGGGCAAAAATCTTGGGACAGCTTGTTGACCCACTTCCCGTCAACCTATCGAGATAAAACTTTGTCGCGTTGACGACAACACATTCTATCAAATTTTCAGCCACCACCCCCCCCCTCCAAAAAAAAAATAAATAATAATTGTTCCCCTGTTTTTCAAGGGGGGGGGGGGGGGGAAAAGGAAAAATGATGACACTAAACGATTCACGAAATAAAATTCCCGTTAACGGCCCTAAAATTTGCTTTTGAGTATTTAGGGCAAAAATCTTGTGACAGCTTTTTGACCCACTTCCCGTCAACCTATCGATATAAAACTTTGTCGCGTTGACCAAAACACATTCTAACAAATTTTCAGCCACCCCCCCCCCCCTCCAAAAAAAAAATAAATAATAATTGTTCCCCTGTTTTTCAAGGGGGGGGGGGAGGGGTAAAGGAAATATGATGACACTAAACGATTCACGAAATTAAATTCCCGTTAACTGCGCTAAAATTGAGATTCTTTATAAAAAAAATATATCGCAAGTGCGTTTAGTGCGTATTATTTTCTTTTTGTTCGTCTAAAATAGTTGAGGAAATATGATTAATAATGCCAGCGATATAAAAGCGGGTGGGACATTAGAATATTAATATAACAATTTTAAAAATACAAAATGCGAAAAAGGATCTAAAGTGAACAACTTTATTTTTCAGGAGGTGGAGGCTGTTTATTTAATACATTTTCATGAGGATGCCTCACCGGTAGTTTATTCCCCCCCCCCCCCCCCAAAAAAAAATCAAGCGTTTACCTCCCCTACAAGAAGAACACTCCGATTCCTTTGAAAGCTTTCACCATGAAACACAACAATAAAAAAAAAACCAAAAAACAAAGAGATTAAGAAATTCAGAACCTAGCATCCAACTGCATATTTAGTCAAACTTGACCGGAAGTTATTCAAATCCAGCAAGGATAAAATGTTCTGAGGAAATATGTCAATGTAATCGTCTCTTAGTAAGTCTATTTTTTTTTAAAAACAATTGTTGCTTCCTGATGGTCTATCAGACAAAAATCATGTTTTGATTGCCTTGTGTTTTTTTTCTTCTTTGAAGCTGTCACATATTGTGTTCTTACTATTTCATTCAAGCGGCTTGGCTTAAGCGCAATATTTACACTTTACATTATATTTTGATGTCTCCGAGAAGAGCTGCCTTACTTGGCTTTTTCACTTGACATTGCAGTCGACTAATTGCCAACAGCTTGTGACAACCTCGGATGGATTCAAACTCATTGTCTGTGGTTTGTGACCGTGAGGAGACATCCAACTGTTGCACCACGGAACTATTCAGTTCAGAGAAGGAGAAAAAAAAAGAAAAAAAAAGGGTCGGGTATGGGGTGACAGAGAGCTGTAAATTAGCCTTAAGCCTTAATGGTCTGGTCCCTGTGTATCAAGTTAGCAGGCATTGGCATACCGGTAGCGTCGATTTCACAGTTAATTATCGCCCCCATTTAGGTGAGTTGTCCCCTTTTACTTTTATTTTAGAATTCATTGACCAGCAATGAAATATTCACAGAGAAGCTTGATAATGGGAAGGAAAAAAAAGAAAAGAACAGAAAATTGACATCACATCAATTAAGAATTGGAAAAAATTCCAAAAACAAATCAGTGAAGAAAAACACTTTTGAGTGGGCTTTATATTATGTTACAATTCAAAATTCAATTGTTGGGTGCCAATACAAAATGTTCACAAATGATGATACATCTTTTCACTTCAGGTAAAAGTTATATGTTTAATCTGAGAATTCAAAGTAACTCTTACTTTAACTCACTGCTTAGATTCAGACCTAAACTCAAGCAAACTGAGTACAATATACCGGTACCGTAACTTCATTTCACTCAGTTAATCTTATTTATGAATTTATTCAGAAGCTGGTACGGGTACTTCATGCAAAGCATTAATATATCAGAGCTGCGGAAATCACCATTTCTCCATGGCAGGCCATCACAATTCCTGCTCACAAGGGGGGGGGGGGGGGGGGAGAGAGAGAGACCAACTTTTTAAAGTACCAGGAAATGTAACTTTTTGTACCCGGTACCTATTTATTGAGGTGGAAAACTGGGGAATTCCTTTCTATTTCTATACACATGGCTGTAAATCAGGAGGTATGGCTTGATATTGATATGTCACATTTTGTTTTTCCACTCCCAATTTTAACTTCAAACAGCATATTAATATTAAGTTAATTCAGGAGCCATCTAAATTTTGACTGTAAAAAAAGAGCCCCACATGAAACTTAAGCTGTGAATCAGGTTTCAACTGTTTAGCACTCTGTAAAACAAAGCTACAAGTTTACAAGCATTTGATTGTGATTATGATTTTTGATTATCCAAGGTATGTACATAAAGACTAAATAAACAGGTGGGCTAAAAGAAACTGAAATATTTTCTACCTGTTACCGGTATATTTATAATCACAAAGAATCTCCTATAGATAGAAGTAACATATTCCTTGTAGTTCATTTTGTCATAATTGATACTGCAGCCCTGACCGAGATAAAGTTAAAAAATACATTGCCTTTCTCATTATCTCTATGGTCAATCAACCACCTGCGCCTTTACAAGATGGTAGACTGCTTTTAAAAGAGTCATCAAAAATTCAGTTCATGTTGTGGTGACCCCCAACCCTAAAATTATTTTTGTTGCTACTTCATAAATATGTGTTTTCTGATGGTCTGAGGTGACCCCTGTGTAAGGCGTCGTGACCGACAGGTTGAGAACTGCTGTCCTAGGGCTTTAAAATTTAAACAAGATTTTCATTGTGAATAACATCACCTGTTCACACCATTGTAGGTTACACACAGCTTAAGACTAACAGCTATTTTTTTTTTTTATTTCAAGCAAGACAATAACCAGGGATAGACAAAAACTTCACATAATGGAAGAGCCAATCTCATTTTCTCAGGGACCAGCAAATTTTTTTTTATTTGGGAAGGGAGGGAGGGTGCAAATATGTGCCCAGAAAAAACATGATAAATCAAGGGTCTCATGGGCGTCTCAGGGGTGGGGCGTCTCAGGGGTGGGGTGTCTCAGGGGTGGGGTGTCTCAGAGGTGGGGTGTCTCAGGGGTGGGGTGTCTCAGGAGTATGTCTATCCTTGATTACAAGTGGAGAAAAATTAATTTGGCAAGTGCTGAATTGTTTCTCAACTCCAAAGTTAGGATAATGGAAAATGAAGGGGAAACAATTTTTGCCCATATCTTGGTTAGGAAATTTTTTTAATTTTTTGAGGCGAAGATTACAAGTGTTATTATAAATGCTAAAAAAATTATACAGAGGGTTTGGTTCAAATTTCTTTTTTTTAAGAAGGAGAACAATTAGAATTACTCCAGTGTCCAGAATGTGTACTAAGATTATTCAAGTATAATTCAAGCAGAATATTAATTCAGCAAAAAAGATTCACTTTGAACAAGTTACTAAAAAAAAAATTTATACGGTATATTTTATGTAAAATAATAATTGTATTTCTATTCTGACTTTCAAATATATATACTCCTGAGATGAACCTTTTCATGCATCAGCTTGTCTAAAGATATGCAGTAGTACAAGGGTATAGCAAAAGGCGGTTCAACCTAACAGGCAGTGCACCAAGTAATAATCACTGATTCAAATTAAATAACCAACACATTCTTCTGTAACTAATTCAGACTGCTTATTTACATTTACATCATTAAACTCCCCCCCCCCCCCCCCACNTTGAGGGATTAGTTGTGAGGGTAATGGTAATTTGATATTAACAAAGCATCAGTTAAACATGTTAAAAGAGTCATTATGTAAGTAAGCCAAGCCTGTCAATTTTAATTTTTTTTTAAAAAGATCGGAAACAAAACATAGGCACCATGTACTTTTTTTCCTTCTGACATGTTTATGCGCATTCAAAAAAAAAAAAAAAAGCTTGAGTTGAACTTTATTGACATTTACAACCAGAGCCGAGCACTCCCACAATGTTCTCTCTACTACAGGCGCTAAGGTGCTCTCAAGATTGAACAATCGAAATCGGCTATTTGCTGTGCTCTAAATCAAGAGGGATTTTTTTTCTTCTTTGATCAGCCAACATCAATATGATGCTGCATTATATTAAAAATAAAACCATAACTTGGGATAAAGTTCCTATAGACTTATCCATTCCTTCCCTTCTCACATGTTATAAATTACACATTACAAGTGGTGAATCGCAAAGGTCAACAAGTGTTGGCAGGATTTTGATTATTTAAAAAAAAAAAAATTAGAAGTCTTTTGGTTTTCCAACTAAAAAGTATGGGACATTCAATTTAAGGTAAATTCTCTATTACTATTAACAGTATTTAAATACATATTTTGTTTTGGATGCTGTACTTCAAATAATCAGTAAAAAAAAATGCATTGTTTGAATGGTGTGGGGCTGAAACCTATTCAATTTTTATGTGTTTAAGATATGAATAAAATGTTATGAAAGTTAAAATAATTGAAGTCCTTTTTAAAAGGACACTAACTTCTGCATCAAACTTTAAAGAAGAAAAAATAAATTTGTATAAATCAGCAAATGTTATTTAAGATTAATTAAAAATAGTAAATAATTAATTAAATTTGCATATTATGTGAAAAAATAAACACACAGGAATGTTCACTATATGTACAGAATTTTTTTTATTGATACTTTGTACAGTCTGATAAGTGCAGAATATTAACATTTAACTGCATTAGGAGAAAATTCCAAATGGATTTGTTTAATTTTCAAAGAAGAGACTGAGCTAAAATGGTGCAATGGGAAAAGGTTAAATAACAATAGGTCGTTGGATACATAATAGGGCAGCATTGGAACTGTCATTATTTAATGACTGCCTGGTATCATTCGAGCAAGTTTATTTTTTTATTTCTGAACAGTCACTTGCAACAGAAAGCCGTTTCTCTGTATATTTTGAATTTACTGAGGTACGATGCCCATCTCTTTCAAACTTATAAAACACTAGTATCTTTAAAAGCAACTACCTTGCTGCTAAACAACTATTGGTTGAAGCTAAATGAATAATCTACTTTATCAGTAAGCACAGCCTCAAACAAAGTCTGTCAAGTTGAAACAATCTTTCGTTTATTGTTTCTTCTGTTTTTTTAAATTTTGTTTTTCAGTCTATATTATGTTGAGCTACATGCTAAAAAAAAAAATACCTGGCTCATCTAGCTGTATCTAACTCTCAGATCTGGCAGTGCTCTCAACAGCTCTGCATACACACAGCTCTGATAAGACTACAGCATGCTGCCAAGTGTGTACATGCAAACAACCCAAATTTTGGTCAAGGCAAAGGACATAATATTATATTGTAAATCTATCATTAATTTTTTTTTTTTAAATATGCATCATAACTTCATAACTTGAAGTACTTTTGTCCACCCTGACACATCTGCTGCAACATAATCACATTGATATTACAGCTGTCAAGCAGACATCCCAATACATTCAAATAAAAATCACACACACTTTTTCCATACTCATTTTTGTACATATCCATACTTAGTTTCACATATAAATATACTTCATCTGAAAAAAAAAGTTCAAATTTACAAGTGCAAAATCATGTTTATTATCTTGGTGTTCACCGAAGCTTCAAATTTACCTCTGCATTAATTTTACAACCCTTTGGATGATGGGAAAGCTGTGTTTAAAACATTAGAATTATAAAATATAAATATCAGGCCAGAATGTCTAAGACTGGTTTCAGATATTTCTGTATTCTTTTGCACCAAGATCTTGCTACGATTTTTCTGGGGCAATCAGAGTTAATTAAAAACAGACATCAACCAAACTGAAAGGAAAATCCTGGAAACCCTCCATTGTGTGAGTGACCACCATGACTGAAGTGAGAAGCACCTGGATGGCCACCAAAACTGAAGCCAGACATGTTGCCTCCACCAAAGAAAGCTTGGAAGATCTGATTAGGATCGACTGTGTCTGAAAGGTGTGACAAAAAATGTAATGAACATGAGACAAGCGTGTACATTACCTCCTAGTTGGCTTCAAAACAAAATAATTGATGTGCTCATGGAAAATATATCGCCATGCCCAGGCCGAATATCCCGTTTTTTTTTGTCTCAATTACTTTCCTTAGCAAATATACAATTAATACTGATGCAGATCTGAATATTTATTTGAAAATTAAACTTTTAAAGATTTAACATAAATTTTGTTTATCAAAATGGGTTGGGTAGCTGGATGGTTTTGCAGGCTAAATTTTAATGGCGTCCATTTCGAACTTGCACATTGGAGTTTAATCTCGACCAAAACACAGAGTAAAAAAAAATCATGCTAATGTGTTCACATCTTTCCCAAATGAATAATTTTATAAATGACAACGTTTAAATAAAAATAGCTGGATTAAAGTCTGATTTTTTCAAATTTTGATCAATAGAATTTTTTTTAATGGACTTAGATAATGAAGTTAATAGCAATTTAGATATCATTATAGATACTGGTAATCATTTACTTTTCTTAGCTGTAGTATAAGTAGTACAGATCCCATTTATTTAAATTAATAAAGTAAGGTCAATATCATCAGACTATAAAAAGGTTATTGAGATTACAGTCTCGTATCATTTTTCACAAATCTGTCATGTGGATAGAAGTATTTTTTTTACTGTATGTGGTAAGTGGACAAAAAGACTTAACAGTAAGGGTTCACCACAATTAACTATTTTGACGCCATTGTGAATTTTTTTTTTAATACCTGTAAATGATATTCGAATTGTATCTCCGCATAACACCAGTAATGTTAGCAACTATCCTGTATTGGAACAAACTCAGTTCGTTTTAAATATAATAATTTAAATGATTTTGACATTTTTATTTTAAAATTTAATACTTATTCAATAATTTTTAGATTAACAGATCGCATTACAATTACATGTAGACATGGCATTTTAAGTGGATAACATTATAAGGGGTATTGTATGGAGAGTTTCATCCTGCAAAATGGCATACAGTAGTCCAAAAAGACTCAGATTCGCTATCCGGTAAAAATATGTACCCTGTTTATGCCAGCATTACATTCCCACCATGATAGTAGAACTTAGGCATTACAGAGATATAGATAATGGGTAACATTCTTACTTACCATATCCCATCCCTTCGCCGTCCTCAATGTCTTGCCCACTGTCATACTTTGCCTTTTTCTTAGCATCTGACAAAATACTATAAGCTTCTCCCAGTTCCTTGAATTTTTTCTCTTCTTCCTTCTGTTTATCTACTGTGTCATGCGAGTGACGATCTAGACAAAAATGTGTTCTTGTTAAATTGAATTCATGATATAAAACGGATAAAAGCTAATGATACCAATAGCAGGGGACAACATGTTATGCAAACAATCATGCGTCACTTTAGCAATAGTCTTACCCTTACCTTTTACAATAATATGTGTTACAACTGTTGCAATTACATTCTATTAACTTCTTAGATACATTATGTAATAAAGTGTAATGAGTTGTTGCCAAATACTGTCAAGTTATCTGGCAACCAAAGCATTTCAAACAAAAATAAACTGCAAACCAAATCTTTATTTGAGTAAGCATTAATTTGTTATAAATTTACATTGTCGGACATGTTAATTCTGTTACATATTATCTGTGACCAGAAATACATACAAAAAGAAATAGCAAATTTAACCCATGCTTGACATAATCGGATGGAAAATAATCTAAATTAGTCTTTTTCTACTAACTAAATATATTTTTATTTTTCATCTTTTCTTTTTTAAATTAAAAAGAAAGTTATCAATTTAACAAAAACAAAAGAAAAAAGTCCAACTGAATACAGCTGGGTAACAATTTAAAGACATTAAATTAAAATTAACCTTGCAGCATTAGCTTAAGTAGTGTTTGTACATGTCTTTGTTACGATATTTTGTGCCTCCACATGGCTGTGTTGTTTTTTCCCTGCACATTGCTGTGGTGTGTTGCGCATGCAAATTGTTGTGATGTTCATGTGTCCCTCATTCTTATTTTACCACACACATAAAATTAAAATGACTAAGAATCTGGTACAATAACAATAAGTTTATGTTTATTATCAAAATATTATTATTATATCCTGTATAGGCAGTATTGACACTTCTGTAAATTTTATTAAAGTCGCTATAATTTTCATTGACACTGCAATGATTTCCCCTGCTATCAACAAATATTTAAATGACAATCTTTTTTCTAAAATGCCCTTTTCCATCCTATAAAAAAATTTGCATTGTTTTTTGTATATTCCTAAGTTGTACAAGGAAGTCATCAGTCTATATAAATTGAGTTAGCTAAAACTAGGCTAAGTCTAAACAAATTTTGTGGAGATTATGTTGAATAGTCTTGAGATATCATCCTGTAAATGCTGCAGCCAAATAAGCTTACAAATACTGAAAAAAAAAGGTGAGTAAGGGACATATCAATCTTATTAATCTTTTAATGTGAGATTAATGCAGATTGTTGAAAGAAACGCAGACAGCAAAAAAAAAAAAATTAAGTATATCTCCGATGGAAAGGTCAAAATTCTGCCCATCAATCCCTGTAATGTTACAGCCAATGTGGGGCTTTGGCCTGCCTCGCCACGTATGGCCTTTTTAAAAAGTTTTTTGGGTATGCCCGAATTTCTACAGAGTCCCATATAGGTATTTTCTTAAGACGATGTCAAAGGCCATTATATAGGCTACATAGAGTTGATGCACTGGGATATTATATTCTTAATATTTCTCTAATAGCATGGTTGTCACCAAGTATTTTTTCAGTGTATGGTTGTAGTCTCTTAGCATTTAGTTCTGAATAATGCAGGGGTATCTTACCTGGGTGGTGTATCAAAGCACGCTTCTTGTACGCCTTTTTAATTTCATCTTCTGAAGCTGTTTTATGAACCCCAAGAATCTTGTAGTAATCTTTTCTCTTACTTTTCTTCAACTCCAGCTTTGCATTTTGAAGTAGCTGCTTATTTTCTGTTTATAATACAACACAAGTGTTCTGAGGTCTTGAGCATAGTAAGAAAAACAATTATATTGATTTTAAAGACAAAAACATCAAAGTTATTCTGGTTTCCCTTAGGAAAAGAATAGCCTGATTTTTAATAGTTTGGAATTTATATTTAAAAATATCAATGACATTTAACTTGAATAAAATCATTTAAATAACGAAACTAAAAACAGCATTTACATGCTGGCTCAATTTTAAATACACAAGTGTGGGACCTAATAACTGTCCATTATCAGAAGTAACAGAAACTAAATAAAAGTGTAAACATAATTTAATGCTCCTTTTTTAGCAGATTTTAAATTAAATTTTCTTTAAAGGTGTCACAGTTAAATAACTTAGTGGATGGATATTGTCTTGTCCAGGTATGGTTATGTTATATGTAAGCTAAGCCAATTAATGACAATCATGTAAACAATAAGTTAAATACTCTGAGCAATCACAATACCGTAACAAAATAAAATCTTTTTAAAAAGGGGATGATAAGGGAAATGCTGAATTGTAAAAATTGAACTGAGCTGTACTTGCTGGATTAAAATTTTTTAATATATTTGTTCACTCTTTCTGATATATCTCTTGCTTCTATTTCAAAACAGTTTAAAAAATATTGTTTATAATTTTCATTTAAAAATGTAAAATAGCATACATATGATTTTTTTAGGAAATAAAAATCTAGTTTTCTGTCACTATCACGTTATTTAAAAAAAATAAAAATAACTTTCTTGCACTTTGTGTTTTCGACAAGTGGAACTAGAATTTAATTTTCTTCTAAAAATACATTCTTGGAACCTACCCTCAGGTGCCTGAATAAAATAGAACATATAGTTAAACACTATATGAAGGAAAATTATTACTTGAAGACAATAATAAACTTAAAATGAACTTAAATAACCTCTTGTCTTGGCCATCTTGTATATCTGCTCATAATCTCTTACAGCTTCTTCATACAGTTCTGTATCTGTGTAGCTGTGAAACAATGTGAGCATATTTTATTGCTGTGAGCATAATCTAGTATTTGGCGAAATGGTTGTAGTATGAAGCATACAAATTATTTTTAAAAAGTTGCATGTGTAACTCATAGGGTGGGCAAAAATGAGCTTAACTTGAATTTATTATTTTAATGGCAGTTGTTTATGAGTGTTTCTATCTAGGTTTCAGCAATTTATCATTGGTTTATCAGAGAATAATGCCCTGATTTTAAACTTAATAATAGGCTAATATGCATTTGAATATTACACAAATTCCAATCTGATGTTTTGGAACAAAAAACATGGTTTTAATAACAAATTAAGATTTTTTATTTGAATTTTTTCCATTTAGGACAAAACACATATATGTAAGTTTCTCTTCAGACGGCACGCATTTTATTTACTCTGATCACTTTGCTTTCTTTCTTTGACACAACTTATAAAATTATAAGGAAGCTGAATGGTAATTTGCTCGTCAGTTCAAATATTAATTCAATAAATTTTTCGTATGAAGTAAACTAAGTTAATTATTTCGACAATTGTTAAAAATAACTCAATAATAATAATAATTCAAACATAAAAAATAAATAGATGGATAAAGAAGACAATTTTGTTCATTACCATTTGGCTCGTCTCATGTATGCTTTGAGATATGTGTCGTCCAGCTCAATAGCTTTAGAACAATCCTGGATTGCATCATCTAATTTGTTGAGCTGGGAAGAAAACGAAAAAACAACAACTTTTAATCACAATTTTTCCATATTTTGAATGAGAAGGCAAAATCAAACTCATGACGGGGATGCCTAATCATTCTTTTACCACAGTTTGAATAAAAAAGGCAAATCAAACTCATTGCAAAGGGGCCTAATGATCTAATAATTCTTTTAACCAGTTTGAATAAGAAGACAAAATCAAACTCATGGCTGTGGCCCTAATGACATATCATTACTTTAACCACTCCTACCTTACCTGCTCTTCCAAAATAACCTCTCATTTGGAAACTGTAACCTTTTGTCCTATACTGTTATCACTGTTACTGTTATAGCTAATTTGGATACTGTAACCTTTATTCCTATACTGATCACTGATACTGTTATAAATTTGTCATGACCAGAGTGGGTACCTCAATGAATATCAGTTAGGGTGTTAACTACTATTTCCCACAACTGTAATAATATGAAGTCAAAGAATTCACATATCACTTATTTATTTTAAACACTACGCAGAAATAAGGTTCACATCTGATAAATAATAGAATGATGATTAAAGATAGTTCAGTCCTAATACATCAATTTCTATTTAGAAAATTACATAAGACCAATCAATCTTCACAACAGCTATCTTCATTCAATACAATATGGCTGTCCTTGTAGTTCCTCACTATCTATAATTATCCTCACTATCTATATTTATATCTATAACTATGTGTCACTACTCTAAACAAAATAGTGCTTTTCACTCAACAGCAAATTAATATCAAATATCACTATGTTACACTTTTACAGCAACATTTAAAAAAAAGAAATTAAATATAAAAATGAAGTTTTTTTAAAAATAATACCAATATAAAAAGGCTATTTGTAGAGTAACCTTACTGTAGAATAACATTTCACATGTAGAATGTCAAATCTGTACATTTCCACAAGTGTACAGCCATCACTACGTACCAATGGAACTTAAATGTTTGAAGAACGATGAACAGGTGTGCAATAAATTTAATGCTTTAAATATTTTCAAAGATATCATCAAACATACAGAGTTCTTCATAAAAAAACATTTTCAGAACCTACACTATGCCTCATGAAGTTTGGCCCAATAGTATAACACAACTTTTTTCATTTTTTTCTTCATAACTTCATCATAGAATACATTTTTATTAGCACCTTTATATTAACATGTGCATCTTATTTCCTGGACAGAAACTAAATTTTACCTTGGAACATACTGTAGCCCTGTTACAGAATAGTTTGGAATTAGTTGACTTGTTATTAGGGTCGATACTAAGTGCCTCAGAATACATATTGTAGGCATCTTGGTATTTCCCTGCACGAAAAGCTGTGTTACCTTCATCTTTCTTCCCAGACAAAGCCTTTGCTCTCTATCATGGATATAAAAAAATTAATTACAAAATTTAAATCATATATATATATATATATATATATATATATATATATATATATATATATATAAAAGAAAGTGTGTGTGTGGCGGGATTTGTTTGTTCCACAAAGGCTTTTACAAGGATGGATGGATCTTGACCAAACTTGGCACATATATCCATCATGATCCAGAAGGAAATCTTAAGGGGTTATGAACTTTTTATAACATTCCGTTTGGGGCCGGGGGGCCCCGAATTCTTTTTTTTTCCTTATATGGGCTATATAAAAATAATTAGAAACAAATACTCCTACATGAGTAGATGGTTCTTAACCAAACTTAGAACATACATACTTGATTATCCATATTCAAATACCGAAGGGTACTGAACTCATAATATCCATTTCTCTGTGGCCGGGGGGCCCAGTTCATTTTTCCTTATATAAGCTATATAAATATCAATAGGCTTAGACAACACTATATGTTATATGTGAATTGATGGATTAGGCATAGCTTCGTAGCAATACCCTCCATTGTCCGTTTTGAAATATCGGTGGATTTAAAACTAATAATATCCATTCTAGAATTTTCCAGAAAGTTCAATAATTTTAAAAAGCTATAGCTATTTAGCTATGGCATTTTAAAGTTTATTTTAATGGGGCAAATTTTAAATTTTAACTTTATTATTTATCCGACTGATTTTTATAGGGCCCCTTATCTCAGGCATAGCTAAATTGATATAGTTATGAAATGGGCCCCCAGGGATCCCTCAGTATACTTAAAAGAAAAAGGGTTATAATTATGGGATTTGTCGAAGATTTTTATCGTATTTGAAAAGTAATTAGATAAGTAGTTTTGAACATGTTTCGAGCAGGTTATTAATTTTAATCTAGAATGTTCCAGAAAGTTCTAAATTGTTCCAAGGGGATATATAGTGGGATCTAAAGGATAATGAAATTTTAGTTAGTTCAATTCATTTCTATACTGTCCCGGACTTAACTGTTCTCTCAGTAACATTGAAGAATTTTTTGATACAGGATCCCAAATGGGTGGGGATCCCATCATAATCTTTATCCCAATGGGATCAGGCTCCCAGGTCAAACCAGGATAGGGTCCTATACAATCCCGGGCCACGCCGGGTATATAGGCTAGTTGAGAATATTTACAAATCTCCAGATGTGCATAGTTAACTTAGAAAATGTTTTATAACTGTGAAAATATGAAACACATTGGTGCCCCGAAAAATTATTTCTTACCAACTCTCTTTGCAAAAATAGCAGAAAAATGGAAAACACTGAGCTGACAAAGTCATTTACCAAAAAAATCAAGAGATACTTATAAATGTATTGCATAGATGAGTGGATGAAAACAATATCACTTTATCTTCATTTAGAAGTATTTACAATTAAGTATGTTAAATGGATCATTTAGAATTGTTTTTATGCTGAGATAACATTCAAACAATGAATTGGGAAAAGTTGCATTTGCTTTACTAATCTAAAAAAAATAATGTATCAAGATTACGCTACTTTTTCCATCCTAAAAAATATTTTAAAACATTTCAGATTGACTATTTGAACAACTCTAACTCTAATACAACCCACAATCATTCTAAATGAGAAATTCAGATATACAAAACAGTATCATTAAAGTATTGTAACACATATATATTACTTTACCCTATATATATCCTTTGCTTTATGGTGGTCTGGTGCTCGCCGTAACACCTCCTGGAAATGCTGGAAAGCTTTGTCTGTACTATCTTGATAGTATAGACACATACCCCTCACATAAAGCGCATCTGCATTCATCCCCTCCCTTTGCAAAATATCACTGGAAGATCCAAATTTTTTAAAATGTTAGAATGTACAAAATTGCAACACTAAAATTTAACAAATGATTCATGCATGTTTTATTAAACAAAACACACACATACATTAAAACCAAACATAAAAGCACATAGGTTACAGTTTAAATTTACTTTGCTTGTTCTTGTGCTTCCTGATATTTTCCTAAGAGAGCTAGGGCTTCTGCTTTTTGGATTTTAAAATGCAGTGCAGCAATGCAATGTTCTATACATCGATCAAGGTAAAATATAGCCTGAAAAAAAAGAAATATTCATTTGAAACTTCAAAAACTTTTAAAGATTCAATCTAGAAAAAAATAGCTGTAAAGTTGCGTTTTTTTTAAATACTTAATTTAAGAAACTACATCTGGTCAGAAACTTCAAATGTAAACAATAAAAATATACAACACAAAATTAAGCATGAGAAAATAAAAACATACAGTTCGATAGTCTCTTTTTTCAAAATTAGCCTCAGCCTTTGATATATGTTCTTGTACTTGGGCAGCTGTACTAGACTAAATATAAGAAAAAAGAAGAAATGTATCATAAATAAAGTTGCTTTTTTTATGTTGCTCAAAATATTGCTGAGAGGCTTTACATAGAAACAATGATTCATTTAGTTGTTGCTTTTTCTTAATTTTAGGTAGGGTAACTAATTATCAGTTGCAAAATTTTCATTTTAATAACTCTTTTTTTAATAGACTTAATAAAATTGATTTTCACTTTCCAACTGTTCCCCAAAGAAATGTTTTCATAATTATAAGCTTGTAAGTAGCAGTGGAATCTTCATATATTGTTTGAAAAAACAAAGCAACTCCTGTATTATGAAATGACCCTGTGCAGTACTTATTCTAATGACCTTGTGCAGTACTTACTTTAAGTCAGCAAAGTACTGCTGAACCTATAAACAGTGCTTAACATAACTGAAACATGTAACAGTGTCAAATACTTAATTGTAGACCTTGGATTTAATTACAAATCATAAGCCGCAGTCATTGGAAAAAAAAACCCATCAAAATATAATATTTTCTCAGTAATTAACTCCCCAATATAATGTCAATTTCCACAGAGGCAAACAATATGCACCTCAGCCTCCAACTAATATTACTAATAAATTTACTACTTTGATCAGTTCAAACCTCTTACCTCTTTTTGAGCAACAGTATTATTGGGTTCAATCTCAAGCACATGTCTGTAACTTCTAAGTGCTGCTACTGGAGATCCTAAGGCTAAATGACATTTACCCTCTCTTAAGTATCCCTGTGAACAAAATAAAAACTGTTATTGAGACAAAGGTCTGTTTGATGAAGGAAAAGTCTCAACAGCAAATAAAACAGCTACTGGTATCGTTTAATTTTACAAGTTTTTTTTTTTTTTTTTTAAAGAAGAGGAATTTTAAAAAGTCTGGTCTCAATTCTGGCCCTATCGTTAAAGTTTTTGAAAAATATAAATTAGAAAAAAATGAGATATACTTTTAAATGGACATATATGCAACTAAAGTCTCATCATCTATTTAAGAAACAGCTTTATCAAGAAAATTTTTAATTAATTTATTATAAAAATATTACCTTAACAAAACCTGTGTCTAGTTGTATTGCATACTGTGCATCTGCTAATCCAGCTTTAAACTTTTGAAGCATAATATATGTAGCAGATCGATTTCCATAGTATGCAGCACAATTTGGACAAAGACCTGTAGAGCCAGAAAAAATATTCTTTAACAAACTACCTTTTACCTTTAGAGGTGACATAAGAATACTAACCTAATACCCTAAAATAAAAAGTAATGTGATTCCTTTTAATAACCAAGGATTGTTAGCTTACTAATGGCTGCTGAATAACATTCAAGAGCCTCTGTATATTTGTGTTCTTTGTAAAAGTTATTCCCTTCCTCTTTCTTTGCTTCGGCTAAATCTTGGATCCTGAAAAGATATAACACAATTTCGATGTATTTCAATAATAATCTAACTTACAGTTTGTAGGCTGTGTTTCAAAAAAGATTTATCTTGCCCTTATGGTTGTGGGTTGTTATGTCACACTATTTGTTCCTTACCCCCTACCCTTCAATTTATTAATTTTGTATATATTAAGAGTTCAAATAAATATATGTAAAAAAATCAAAAGGTATAATTAAAATGTTCTATCACAAAATTTACGGGAAAAAAAAAGACAAATGTTAAAAAAATAATTGTGATCCAGACCTGTTTACCCTCAAACTCCTAAAAATGGTACAAAATCGTATAATACAGTATCTTAATAGTAAAATATAAATAAACATACTGAAAAAATAATGTATAACTACTCGCATTGAGCGTCAAACCAGATAGAGTAAAGCTTGTCTAAAAGAAGGCAACTGAAGGTAAAATGTATAAGACTGACGTTTATATTGCTATCTGCGATCACTTTGTTTTGCAGAAGTGTTAATATTTAGGTGATCATGCAGATCACATTATCACAGCCTGTTACTGGTAAAAATAGAGTTACTGGAGAAATTTAATGGGGTTCAAACTCGAAGTCAGATCAAAAGCTGTAAATGGGTAATGAGACGCTGGGATATTAAAAATCATACAGCTGTTTTTACACGTCTAATTATAGATTTAAATGGTCCACTTAGATAATATAAAATATGTATAAATTTAGTACAGTAAATGCTGCGCGGACCAGTTGAGAATCCATTCTCTAGTTTTCTCGTCGTGGTTCAGCCTTGAGACATAATTATGTCAATGTCATAAAATTGCGTCATACAGCACCCAAGCAAACAAACGCGAGGGGGGCCATGTATATAGTAGGTACGCAAAAAGTCAAATTTTCTAACCCCGCTCTCCCTGCAGTATCCAGATGGCGGTCAGTAGTGACTTACATATGTCTTATATTTATTTTTACCCAAACTTTTTTATTTTGTTTTATGTATTTGCTATTTCGAAGTGTGCTTGTTAGAATTTAACACAGAGAGACTCTGGTGAAAACCTGAATTTGGCATAGGTGCAAGGAAACAAACATTTTAGAGCCACTGGCGTAGCCAAACAAAATATATGTCACATGCATGTTGAAAATACGCTTGACTAAATATTACAGTAATACCTCTACTATTTAGTACTAGACTATCTGAGTATATCTAGCAAGTTCATTTGTGAAAATACATGGCAAAATTATGTCGATAATTCCTACAAAACATTGCCTGATATTTTTACAGCATTTGAGATGCAAATATACTGTTTTTTGTCTTTCAGAGTTTCTCTATGAATATTGTAATTTTTTAAATAATGTACGTACTTTCTACCAAGACCCCCACCCCCCCCAAATCATTACGCAATTGTAGCGGTGTTAATTTGTATCTGTATAGAATTAAATATTGGAACCCCCACCCCAAAACCATACAAAAAATCTAAATAAACGCCACTCCATTCCCCTCTCAGGGAAAACATAATATAATTATAGATGGTCCCCCACCAATCCTATTTCTCGACACATTCACTGCTGGATGTGGAATGCAATTACAAGTTAAAACTAACAACCAAAAATGAACATTTTAATTATTTTTTTTTAATCTTAAAAAAAAAACCTATAGATTGTGTATTCTACCGGCCTCTTAAAATCGTAGTTCTGATGGGTCTGAGCGTACAATTGTAAAAGACACCTCAAAATCATATATTGTACTCCAAAAACGTAAGAGTAAACAGGTCTGGTGATCTGAATTTTAAACAAAATTTAAATTTTTTTTCAAATTTTAACACTTTCCAAAAATAAAAAAATTTGCAAAAAAAAGTATCAAACATTGCATTATTTTAATACTAATACTTTTTATAGGCTTGTCCTATTTCATTTCAAGGAGGCACGGTTTTAAATTTAAAATATGATTTGATATATGACACACACCCACGCGCACATTTCAATTTGGTTTCTTTCCTGATATCAATATCATCTCCCCCCCCCCCTTTTTTTTTTATACTTTAACATTTTCTTAGAAGATATATTTATAAATTATAAAATGGATCTTCAGACACTAAAACAAGATGAATTGAAAATAGTGATGATTCAAAGTTTAAGTTGTATAAAAAATACTAACTAACCAATACAATAATTCGGCTGTAGTAATGTCATGTACAAAAAAAAATATGCATATGATAAGTTATAATTATGAGCCACATTTTCAAATCCCAGTTTTCAATTCAATGGGAGTCGCTTAGTCACTTCCTTGTTTGGTCACTTGATGAGAGTAAGCCATCACTAGGCTGCTACACACAACAAAAGATAACAGCTGATCTGCCATTATTTTTTAAGAAAAATGTTCGTCTTCATCAGTGCTTACCCAATGTCATGTTACTTAAAAATGTTACCTTTCAAAATATTCTGGAATACACATGTTTTTTAAATAAAACACAAAAATGTGACAATAAATATGTGTCAGTTATGATTAAAGGAAGAAAGTGATATCAAGAAAAATTTGTGAGCGATATTCGATGGGAACTATCATCGGCAGGCTGTTTTTGATCTCTGTGCCCATGACATCATTTGCGTGATTATTCAATATTTGTGCGGCGAAGAAATATTTTAATAACTGGTTGGAACAAGATATCATGTGAATAATTAACGAAGATCCACTTTGTCAAGCCATTGTCTTAAATTTTCTTTATTCTTAAGAGGAAACTTATGCAGACTTATATCGATGTCCTTAACTGTACCTTTTGAACAGCCAAAAGCCGAACATTGCCTAGGCATCTTGAATTACTAGTTGTAGTGTGTAACGGGCTACTGTTGTCAAGCACTAGTGTGTTGAATACAGTAGATACTTCGGTAAGTCAAGGGAGACTACTACTTTTTGTGTATGGGATTTCGCAATCGGCGCCAAAAAATCTGAGTTTTTAATTTTCCGATGTGTGTGTCTATTTATTATTAAATTAGTACTTTCGATATATATTTGAGTTCCGTTTTCGGCCTCATAATTAGGTAGACATCTTGGCCTACATTTTAATCAATTTCTTTTTCATTTACAATCAGTCAGCTTTGAGAAAATCCTTGGTAAATATAAGGCAACTTTCATCATTAAAATTAAGTCGAAGGAAAAAATTTGTCACTACCAAATTTTTTTTTGCATCTGGGGAATCTATTGATCTACATGTATGCCAATTTTCACAGCGATAAGTGTCTTACGAGAGACGCTATGTTTCTACGCGTTCGCAGCAGGTCATGCAGCTCGCTCAACCTAATTTCGTCATGGGGTGGGCCACGCCCCCTTTGTAATGGCGGAAGTTGCCGATACTTAGGAAATATTAAATTATTACCACTATCTACATCAAAATAATTGATAACTTGTGTTTCAGAATGCATTTTGAAGACATTTAAACTGGAATGTTTTAATTTGAGCTTTAACAACCCGGTAGAATCCATATTATAAATGATCAAAATTTACCGTGTGCAACACGTTGTCATTGGCAACCATTCACAGCCACTTGCATAACGGCTGTATCGTAGTACTACCTCAGAGTTTCATTCATAAGAGTTTGCCGTGTGCAAAAACTACTATACCATTGGTCAGGGAAAGCTTTAATTAATTATTCATGTGCCAAAGTTGAAAGTTTAAACTAAGTCGACCCTAAACAGTATTTTAGTGATAAGGCGATGCGTTGCCTTATATAAAGTATATAGTCATTGCGCATGACGCGATCAGCGGAATGAGGTCACAAGATGTGGAGGTTTCGTCCATAGTAAAAAGTACCAAACGAACTCATACTTTAAAAATTCATAGCTCAAAAAGTACTTAAGCTAAAAAGTTGATTCTGGTTTCATTTTTTTATTTGAAATTAGCTCTAACTAACTGTGCTATTTAAAAAATTATTTGAATTTTTTTTAATTTTGTATTCAAGTGCCTAAATACAGCCTCCCCGGAAGTCTTACTCGTATTTACTCTCATCATGTGACAAAACAATTGACTAAGCGACTCCCATTAAACAAATTAAAAGTCTTAATTAGGCCTAGAGTGGCTAGACCATCACTGCCTAGAAATATGCTAGGGCTAGGCTACTACTATAGTATAATAGTATAATAGTAATAAAAACTTAATACCCAATTCAGCTTACAACTTTGAATGTTAATAAAATATTTTATTATGTCTTTTCCACCAGCAGTTACAATTTCTGACAAAATAAACAGCCCAGCTGGCTTTAACTATAATTGCATGCATCAATTAATACAACAGTTGGATAATTTTCATATCGCGTAGTTAAGAGACGCAAGTCCGCAAGTCTACTTTTTTTTTTTTATGGGGGAAGTCGTTGATTTTTTTTCTAGGTCTTTCCATGGAAAACGAAAGTTCTAAAGAGGTCTTATCGTTCACTTTTCCAGAAGAATAATATAAAATAAATAAAAACAGAATCTCTCAATGTGGAATAGTATATTGACTCAACTGTTCGTCTGGCATAGCCACGTCAGATTCAACACCCTGTTCAATGGTTTCCATTTCAGGGGGTACCTCCTCGTTTGTCATTTCTGTGTCCGACATTTTGCCTCTTGTTGAGCAACCACTAGTCTCACGTGAATGGATAAAAGTAGAACGAGAGTTCGCGTGATGTGAAGATGGGGACAAATTAGATGACACAATTACCACATTTATCCGGGGTCATATTAGTATGGTTACCGGAAATTTGATCGAAAGAAATTTCGTCGACGGTAAATTGATCGAACGGAAATTTCGTTGAATCTTTATTTTAAGTTTACACGTTAAAATTTTCGTCTAACTTCCTTTTGAACGCACTATACCATATAGTAAAACAAAATAATGCGCTCAAAAAGAAATTTAAACAAAATTTTAACGTAAAAACTGAAAACACGATTCGACCATATTTCCGTTCGATCAAATAAATTACCGTCGATCAATTTACCGTCGAACAAAAATTTCTTTCGATCAAATTTCCGGATACGTATTAGTATTATATTCTAAAATATCTATGTCTATAACTTAAGTGTAGTATCATCTACATTCTGTATTTGGCTACCCTGTATTTTTAAAATTTAAACAGTCTCTTCTCAGAACAAATTATTTGCTGCTAAATTTTTTAAACAATATTTAATTTTATAAACTAATTTCATGTTTAATTTAGATTTTAAATTATCATGTATCTGTTTTGAGATTAACAGCCGGGTTTCTTTCAACTATATCTCCGAGGGGGGGGGGGGCGGGGCCCCCCGGGGAATAGAAAAAATATGTCCAACAATAAACAATAAAACAACCGGAACTGCTGGCACTGCCCCCCCCCCCCGAAAAATCTGAAGTGCCCCCCCCCCCTCGAAAATCTAAAGTGCCCCTCCGGTGGAACATTTCTGAAAGAAACACTGGTTGACAGTGCAGTGTGAATGATTGAACATTGAATATTACCAATGAATAACGTATAAAGTAATATTGAATTTCGCAGCTAAAAATGCGTGCCTCATCAAGATAGCCTGATAAGGGATAGGCTCATCATACATCCCGGTCTTTTCGGGTTCGTCCCGGTTTATCAACATTGCTCCTACCGGTATCGGAATTTGTCCCGGTTTCAATCTCACTTCTCGGTTAGATCAAATTAGGGAAATTGTATGTTTTAAATACATATCTTGATAGATGCTTATGGTCCAAATTTAATGAATCTGCTAGCTTTCTTTTGTAGTATTCTGATCATGGCTCATTGACTGGCAAAACACAAAAAGAGTTAAATCCGTTTGCAAATATTATTATATTATATATATATATTTATTTTTCTGTTGTTGTTGTTGTAGCCATTGTCAGTAGCATGGTAAGGCATGGCCACACTGGGACTGGGCTGTTGCCCAGGGTCTTACGCTTGTAAGGGGTCTTGCGCTAAGATCCGTAGCATGACTTTTAGAGGCCCCCCTGTCACTTTTTTTATTGTGTCCATGTATTCAAAGATAACAGTTATAATGTCTTCCCCATCACAACGTTGTGTTCTTAGCTAATAAGAATATATTTGAGTATCCCTGCAACTCTTTTGCAAGTGATGGCCCTGTTTAGGCTCCTAGAAGTTCTCTGACGGGATTTCTTCGAGATACAACTTTAGTCAGAAGTTGGACCCACCAAGGTGGGGACCTGCACAGGGACTTACGGCGCTGTTGCTACTAAACACCCATCCAGACATATGTGTCTGCTCTTACAAAAGGGATATGGCACCGGGTTTCGATTTTCCCAGACTGCTCTCATACAGAGGTTCTTATGTGGCCAGCTTGACGCCCCGTGAGAGTAAATACCGCGTCGCTTCTGCTAGTAAATAAATATTTTGAATTAATATTTAAAAACAGCATCTTATTTATTTAGAAAAAAAAATACAAATAAAAAATAAAGTACTTGTATAAACACAACCAGGACAAGGAAAACTATATTTCTACTAGCATATCTTCTTTTTCTCGTCGACAAAGTGTAGAATTCTTATAAATAAGTTCAGATTTTAAAAAAAAAAAAAAAATTAATTAAAAATCTCCATTTCATTTAAAAGCCTTTGGTCCTTTGGATTTGTGTTCCCTCCCTGGACAAAGTGACAGTAACTCAATAACGGCAATTTTGATCAACAAAAAATGCATTGGATGTTAGTAGGCCCTACCCGGTTGTTAAAATGACTTTCATGAAATTACAAAAATATGATTTTTCTTTGGTTTAGTATATATATACTGGTTCTGGGATGATTGTCAACCTTATTTTCCAGTTAATGCATAATGGCTGTGTTGCGTATGGTTGACATGGCTAGACATACTTTGCCATTGTATGCTTGTAATTAGTTTTTGTAGTGTTGCGTTTGTTTTAAATGTGGTAAATTATAGATTTGTTTTTTGTTGACTTTGTACCGCGCTTCGAGCCTTTGGGGATGAAGCGTGTTTTTGAAATGAACTTTATTATTATTATTATATTTATACATATATATATGTAGTTGGACTATATAAATTCCAGGGCCAAAAGCATAATCTGTGGTTAGCAAAAACTGGAAGGAATTTATAAGTGTTGCGGCAGGGGGGGGGGGGCAGAGTCAGAGTTGGCCCTGGGCGACATTATGGTCATCTTGGCTCTGATAGATAGGGGCTATTCACATATTATATAACACACAAAAATGAAATTTCCTCCCACCCCATTACAACGTAATATACTTCCATTGACCCCCCCCCCCACCTCAATATTATCTAATGTTTCTAGCAATCACCCACACGCCTACCTAATGTTACTGTTAACCAAATGTTTATTATACATAAAGTCCTGCAAGAATTCATTTTCAGGAAAGTCTTATAAAGAGTAGAACTAATAACATAACATTAAAATTTGAAATATGAAAACTCAAGCATAAATTGTGCTAAAATGAGAATTGTACAAAATAATATGAAACAAAAAAGAATTGTTATAAAACATTGCTCTCTACCACCATCCCCACCCCATGTAACTATAAAATAAAATGATAAACTACCTCTACCCCTTCATGATTTATAACATGTGCACTGTCCCCCCCCCCCCCCCACCCAAAAACAGTTATCCATAACAACACTCGTCTTGAAGCATGGGCCAACTTGGACCCCAATAAATGCTTTTTCCTAATATTATTTATATAGGTTAAAGAGGAAAATGGGTAGCAGCCTCTATAGGGTTGGTGCCACCCAAGGTGGGCCAAGCTCTCCCCACCCCCTTCCATGAAAAACTGCACAGTTGGCCATAAATGTGGCCTCTCAATATAAGGAAAAAAGTGTTGCCCCAGGCGAATCATCCCTCAGCACCCCCATCCTACGATACTGAATAGGGGCTACAGTGCATTATTTTTCCAAGGACCCCTTATGCTGTTAATACTGCCCTTGGTGTAGTAGGTTATGCATTGAATAACTAGCCAGGGCCATACAGAAACCTAGGCAACCAAGTAAATCACTTGGGGCCCTCCCCCCCCCTCCATTGGGCCCTCCAAGGCGTAATTATCTGTAGACAAAAATACAAAAACCCTAACCCGGTTGAGAAAGGGGCATGAGAGAAGAGGATACCAAGAGGGCGATTTGCAACCAAGTAAATCACTTGGGGCCCTCCCCCCCCCCTCCATTGGGCCCTCCAAGGCGTAATTATCTGTAGACAAAAATACAAAAACCCTAACCCGGTTGAGAAAGGGGCATGAGAGAAGAGGATACCAAGAGGGCGATTTGATAGGTGGGGCATGTAAAACAGAGTGATGGAAGTTGGAGAGTGTGGAGATGGAAGTGGGTGAGGTGAATATGGCAGTGGGAGAATAGGAGTGAGGAAGTTTGGGTTGTATGCTTGAGGGGATGAAGTAAAAGAAGTAAAATCTTATGGCAAAACCTTTTTTGATTAATTTTGTTTTTTCACTTTTTTTTTTAAAGATAACTTGTTTTTGGTCAATTAATTTCTAATGAAAATGTAACTACATTTAAGACTTGTGCATTTCTTTATTTAAGAAAAAAAAAAATTAGTATGATTTAAATACTATATAAATCATTGATAAGATTTTATGGGTTTTATGCATTTTTTTTTTAAAATAGTAAAATTATTGTTATAAATATTCCTTAATTATTAATTTGCCCAATATATTTCATAATTTGAATAGAAATGAATGAAAATTAATGCCACAAATAATTATTAGGTTCTGCAAGACCATTTTGAAATGGGACTAGGAATAGTCTTGGGCAACCAGAAAGAAGATTTCAGTTTTATTTTTATTTGCCTTATAATTTTTATTGAAAGGATAACTTGAAATTTGTGTAATTAACAACATCACAATTATTAGTATTAGATACAAAAAATTTGAACAAAAACATTATATATTTTAAAAATTTAATTATGTTAGCATTAGGAATTTTATCCATTCTTAACCTGCAGGACTTCTTTTTAAATGATGCACAATTGTGTCAGATGTAAAATATTCAAACATCAAATCACTTTGAGCTGGTAGATAATTTTTATTTCATATAATTCACTTCAACAATAAATTTTCTGGAGTTTTACCAAGCTCTCCAAAGGAAACTCATTGTTTTTGATGCTCTCTGAATTCTTCAGTTTTTCAAAAAGTATCAAACACATATGCTTCTCTTTTTTATTCAGAAATGATTTAGACAAAGAAAATCTCTGTGACTTAGAGAATGCCTCTAAGAGCTCAAGTGACTTAAGTACTTCATGAGGTTCTACACACATCAAGCACTCAATGAATTCTCCCAATAAACCACCACTGATCTCAATTTTGAAAATTTCTTGCAGTCTTTGTCCACCAATAAAAAATAGAAAGTTTTTCTTTTCGTCTATAGATTTGCAAGTGCGTTTCCAGTGTTGGACAAAGTCTTGTCCAGATTTAGGTATTGTTATCTTAGTCTGAAAATAAAGATAATTTGAAAGGTCTTTAAAACTTAAAATCACCTCACTGTCAAATGTTTTTTGCTCAATCCAGAAGCACACAGATTTTAGTATTAGCATACATGTATGCAGGGCCGAATTAAGCCATCTTGGTGCCCTAGGCACAAACCCACATGGGTGCCCCCTACAGCTCCGGGCCCCAAATCCTCCACTGACTGCTGGTATGTTCAATATTATGCAAAAAAAACTAACAAAGAAAAAACAGTTGTGAAATGTAAACACATATGTTTGTACTACTATCACTCATATAAAACCTACAATAAGGTATTTCTGTATTTAAATTAATAGTTAATGCATTTTGTAATAATAGTAGACAAAAATACTGAAACTTTTTTGATAGATAAGAAAGTCAGAGAGAGCACACATTTACATTTTAAAGTTCTTTTTTCTAGATTTATGTCTGACAAAGTTTTTGAGTACATCATCAAAGTTAATTTTAAGCAACAGGTCTGCCTCAACCATCAGCAAAGATAAGTAATCAAGCCTTTCTTGTTTTATTGTCGATCTACTTGGATTTTTTGTACGTTTCAACTGAGAAAAAGAGCGCTCAGTTGAACAGTTCGTAACCATTAATTTTTAAAATATGCGCAAGGAAATTTCTACATTTGGAAAAGCACACTCGATTTGTTGTCTCTAAATATTACTTTTAGAGTTCTGCATGACTGAACATGTTGTTCTCAGATTTTGATGCACGAAACTTGTGGCGAATATATGAGTGGAACTGTTGTAGTTCGGTATATAAATTATTGTTCAGATCTTCAGGATAAGCATTTATTAGTCCTTCACAACACTGAGATGTTTGAGGTGCATCGACCAAACAAGAAAATCGAACTGCTAGATCATTATATATCTATCCTTGGCTACTCATCTCTGTTACAAGTTTGTCAACAATGGTCTAGAAAGCAGATATACGAAATTTGTCTCTGGCATTCTGAGATACCTCAGGGGCATCACCATCAATGACCACTGTCTTTCGTTTACGATTATGGGTCAAAGTTGACTTATAATCCACATCTGGTGTTATTCCTTTTTTGCAGCTTCTTCACATCTTTCAAATTCATTCCTAGATTCATGCAAGTGATTTGCTAGTGAAGAATACAAATCAGCACACGTTTTCAAGTTCACTTGCTCATTTTGTAGAGCTTGACTGACCCTATTCACAATTGTTTTCACTAGCAGACCAAAACAGAAGTGAATTTGTCACTACGCATTAGTGCGTTACGTAGCACAAACATATCCCAGAAAATTAAAAAAATAGCACCAAAAAACCTTGAAGAAAAATAACAAAAAATAGCAAAAAAACTGGGTGGGGGTATTTTACCCCCAGGTTGTGGGATCAAGGTTAAATAATGTGTGATTCAATATTACATTTGCGATTTGCTTTTGCCATGCAATTACGCTACCGGGTCAATATACACATTTTTCTTGAGGACTTGTGGTACCCCCCAAATGCTTGATGCCCTAGGCACATGCCTTGTTTCCCTAATGGTTAATCCAGCCCTGCATGTATGCATATATTTATATAATTCCAATAATGCATAATCTAATGAACTAGAAAATTTGAAAATCTTAAATAGATAGCCTATTAAAAGCAATATATAAAAGTATTGTAAAATATTTCATTAATCACGGCAATATTTTTTCAGATAATTTTAAAATTAGCATTGACTTATGTAACATTAACTTTTATCTAACCAGAGCAAGATCTATCAAAGATTAATTAGTAAGATTTAAAAAAGGGGGGGGGGGGAATGAAGGGTCTAACAATCTGGAGGTTCCACAAAAATTTAGATCATAAAGATACCCTGATAAATAATAAAAATTAACATTTAAATCATCATAAGTTCTGTGAATTTCTGTTTAAAAAAGGGGGGGGGGGGGAATGAAGGGTCTAACAATCTGGAGGTTCCACAAAAATTTAGATCATCAAGATACCCTGATAAATAATAAAAATTAACATTTCAATCATCATAAGTTCTGTGAATTTCTGGTGGAAGTGGAAATAAAAGTAGAATATCCCAACTTATCCCATTATGATTTTATCAGATGACTTAGTCTTTCGAAGGTTTTATCACTATTTTGAACTGAGAGCTGCCCACTCAACTTTATAGGCGTGATCTATATTCAAGACAAAGAAAGGAAAGTGAAAGAATTCAATCATTTGTTTCTAGGTGATAAATATGCTGATTTAAAATCTTTCACAATTGAATTCATTTTAGTCACACATACTTGTAAAAAGTTGGTAAAAGTTGAAATATTTAAAATATGGTTACAGTTCAGTGATGAGCACATGCAAACAATAACTAACTTTTTTCAACTAAATGTCATTATGTCAGAAAAGCATAAGTACCAATAGTACCATGTTTCTTACTGATGTGAAAAAAAGATGATAACCAGTAGTGCATTTCAATTTTCGCCCATGTAATAATATTTTAATTTGAATCTTAACTAAATTAATGTCAGCTATGTCAGATAAAGTACCAATTTGTTGTTTCATGTTACATTACAAAAAGAAAAACACTTTGGCTTGCATGTTTTAAAGCTCCATTTTTATGGAAGATATAAGAGTGAAATATTCTGATCATACATTTGGTCACATAAACCATCTTCATTTTGGCAAAATTAATTTGGTACCCTAGGGGCTAAAGATATCTTCTTACTGGCCCTTTTTAATAAAAGTTTGCTGACCCCAGCTCTAAAAATGTGATTGGAACGAAACTAAAACAGCTATATACAATTTAAGTGATTAAATAAAAATAAAGGCCTTTACGTTATTATCTACCTGTTCAATATACCCACTGCCAATTGACTCATTATCAATATTTGGACCAGAAAATTTGTCAGCAGCCTGATTCCAAACTTGAGTAAAATTTTTAATGCTGCTGATTCTGTCTTCTTTTTCCAGGGGTTTTAGATGGGCTGCCAACACCATTTCTCTGCTCAATTGCAAACAAATAAAATCAAAATAAATATGATATATTTATTTTAAACATAGATGTTTTAATTATTAGCAATTAGAAAGCATTATTCCATAGGCTCTATAGCAGCATTTAATAATATCCATTTTTCAGGACCATGCTGAAATTAATGCTGCATTAATAGCTTTTACGTTAACTTAGACATTAACCCACGAACTGTGGCATGCATTATTCAGTGGTGTGCAGCTTTTCAGAGCAATTTTAGAAATGTAAATGGATGGGGATAAAGTTGGCCATATTGCCCACCCCGTAAAAAAAAATTTGCTCAGTGTCCTTGACCTTGGAGTTCTCAAGAAAAAAAAATTGAAAAAATGTCTTGCTTTCAAGTGCTCATAACATCATTAATTTTTATAGTTATACTTAAAACACAAACTAAATGTAGCCAATTCATTTATCTTTTAGAAAATGCATAATTTGCTAAGGTTTTGATTGCAATTACACTGGGACCACTGCTAAAACCAAGTACAAAATCTCAGGCAAAATAGTTATTATTGACTAGTAAACATTTAAAAAGGAACTGTGGAACTGATTTGGGTTGTTTAACTATAACATTTGTTAGTTTTGAACTATAATCTGTAGCTTCTGTGACTAAAATTCAGTCAGTCCTTGCCCAATCTCCAGGCTTGGCTCGAAGTACCCGGTATAACAGTAGCCTTAGTATGCCTACTTCAGTATCACTAAGACTAGTACAAAACTCACGAGAAGAATAATCTCAACTGATATCGTCATGGGGAATGTTAAATTCATCATCAGTATCACTTAAAACCTCTCCTAAAAAGCGTTCAAACATATTTGTATTAGTTCTTGCCCTGAAGGCCCAGCCATAGGTTCAACCATTTTAGCTTTAAAAAAACAGCGATATAAAACTCTGATTATTCGGCCGACCACAGTTAGTGGGTTAAAATTATTTGCAAACATTCTGACCTAAAATCATCATAAGTAGGAACACGTTGCTCAACAGCTCTAATTTTTGCATCATTTTCTCTCCAGTATTTTTCTTCATATATTACAGCAGACTGTACTTCTTTTTCCAATTTTTTGAAGTCTAGGCTTTCATCATCATGTGATGATTTTTTAGTGGCCATTCTCCTAAATCACTAATTGAATAAAGATGTCTATGCCGTTACACTAAATTGCTTTATTGTTAGTAGTATTAGGCCTACTATAATTAAACTATTTACTGACTCTGTAACACTTCTGACAGAAGTTCTGTAAAGTTACTTAGTAATAGTAATAAGTTACAGTTAGTAAGTCTTAGACTTTGACTAAGTAGACCTAAGCCTACACTAACACTACTATCAAAATCTATTAAATTTAAACATTCCGGAGGTATTTTTATGTTTCTTAAGTGTCATTAAAAACTATCTCAACGTGAAGATTGCGATGCGAATGAATACTGAAAAGTATTGAAGTTTCTAACAACCATTCAAGGCGTCCTTCGCGACATGTCGTATTCCTTAAATTTTCAAAAATATGTAATTTTTTTAATACCAGAAAGAAACAAATATTACTAATCTTTGTACTACTATTATTTTTTCTAATAAATAAGTTTTAAATAATTAACAAGTGAATTTTATTATTTATTTGATTTTGGGTGGTTATTATTTTAAATTTGACATGTGTTTTTGGGAAGTTAGTTTGTGTTGTTGCTTTGCTTTCCTTAAATTAAAAAAAAAAGTAATAAAAGTGACTCCGCACACAAAATTTAGTAAATTGCGGCCTATTTACTTGTGATAATGTAACTATAGTAAGCGAATTTAATTGCTTCAACTCATTTTTTAAAAGGATTGTAAAAATAAAAAATAAAAGAGTTATGAGATGAAATTAATTTGCCTATCATTTCGCTTTTACAGATTTTCTCGTGTTCATGAAATACAATAGATTCGAATAAATAGCTATAAAACTAATATTCACCACAAGAGCCATATACGGAGAACAAAAAATGTCAGCTTCCATGTTTTTGTTATAATTTGTTTGGATTTTCAGTTCCAACCACTAACTCTATAAGTATAAGAGATGAAGCTGGTAAAAATAATGATTAATATAATTATGAGTCATAGTAAATATATATTTTTTACTTAGGTATTATTATAAATGTGTTATATTTACCAGCCGCTTTAGACTTGCGACATTTACTTTACGCCGAAGTGGCTATACTTTTGTACTATTCGGACCCGGCTACCAGAAGTAGAAGTAAGAGGTTGGGTTTAAAAATATGTATTCAAATAAAAATATTATTGTTGGGTTTGTAAGATAAAATTTGGGGTAAAAGTGCAGTTCAGGTGCGTATATTATTTCTAACGCATTTCGTATTTTTTAAAAATTGTTAAGTGTATTCTTAATAATTAAATACAGGCAGTTAGAGTTAACTAATTCTGAATTATATATCGCATCTTTTCTTTTTATTTTACTTCTAAAGAGTCTTTAACCATCCCCCAACCAAAGTGACTCAGCCCCATTTGTTTGTATTTTTCATTTCACCCTATGCCAGATTTTTAGCCACCTCTAACTATAAGTTAGTATGCTAAACGAAATTTTCAAACTGTAAACATGTTCACAAAAAAGAATGAAATACTAGATTTTTCATTACGCACATGCCCCCCCCCCCCCCCGAAATTCTTTTTTTTCCC